GTATTGCGTATGCTTCTTGTGTTAGTGTGGTAACATTTAGAAGCCAGGGCTCCAGAGACAGATCTTCCATCTGCTGGTTCGTTCACAGATGGCACAATGGCAAGATTGGGCAAGGGCAGGTCAGGAACCAGGAGCTTCCTGCAGGTCTTGTGTGGGGTAACAGGGCCATTGTGTGCCCCCAAATAGTGCGAGCTTGTAAGCCGCAGGAGGCTTTGGGCCAGGAATGAGCTCCTTTCCTACAGCTCCTTGGGTGTTAAGAAGGTGGCACATGACTTGGCATGTGGGTACATGACTTGGTGTGTATGCCCACTGCATCTTGTGTTAGCTATCGCTTACTGAACTGAGGTGGTAAACTGAGGGACCACAAAGAGGGGCCTATGGAGACTACTCCGGTCCTGCAGGTAACATGTTGCCCTAGGAATCAAAACCCCCCACTGATCTTCTGAATTTGAGAAAGATTTCTGTAACAATCCTCTAAGTGTTTTTAAAATTTTTGTATTATAAGAATTTACAATATAAGAGAGGAAGGTGTGGCTCTTGGGTGCAGCTGTGACGTCACAGCTGGGGGTGCCCATGAACTATGTCTGGACTCCCTGTCTCTGCCTCCAGCGGCCTCTGAGAGGCACCTGTGCTGGGTCAGGATGCTGGGTCTGTGCCAGCTGTGCTGCAGACTCAGCCTTCGGCCTGGTCCAGCCCTGGCTCAGTAAACAGTAGATAGAAGAGCTCTCCCCTCTCCCTGGCCCTTACCCCATCCCTCCCCCTCCCCCTCCCCCTCCCCCTCCCTCTTCTTCTCAAAATATGTTAAAGGGAATGATAAGGTGAAAACGTTGGATATCAAACCTGTAATTTGAAGAAACGTCAGGTTTTTCTCAGCACTCGCAGGCTGAGGCTCAGAAGGCGGGTGAGCCCACTCACCACCAGCACCTGTGCAGGGGACTGGCAGCTCAGGCATTTGCTTGCGATAGCATGGATAGCTGGCATGGTAGGCATGGCAGGTACTGGGCATGCTGGGCACTGAGCACGGTGGGCGTTGGACATGGCAGGCACTGGGCACGGTGGGCGTTGGACATGGCAGGCACTGGGCACGGTGGGCGTTGGACATGGCAGGCACTGGACATGGCAGGTGCTGGGCATGGCAGGCACTGGGCATGGCAGGCACTGGGCACGGTGGGCGTTGGACATGGCAGGCACTGGGCACATTTGGAAGCACAGGCAAGCGGTCTTGGGACGTTACCTGCTTTGTGACATCAGCAGTCCCAAAGCTGAAGGGGATGAAAAGGAACATTTAGAGAAGAAGCCATCAAACACACAGAGTATGGGATGGCCAGAGCAGAGGCAGGTGTCCCTAGGGGCAGGTGCAGACGAGGCCCCGTGAAGCTTCCTGTCCAGCCCCATGGCCCGCTCTGTGCTGTGTGTCCCTCTCTCACTCCAGAGAGCCCACTCTGCAGCCTTAGGTTCCCAACTGGCTCCCAGGAAGCTCTGCTCTGCTCTTTTGGCCTTGGGAGAGGGGTGGTCTTGCATGGATACCTGGCCCTGCTAAAGCTGCCTGGGATCCCTGAGCCACTGGGACTCTTGGCCCTCTGGAGTCCTGGATGGGGTGCAACTGTGTCAATGAGTTAGGGTCTTAACTGGAGGGTTGTGTTCCTTTGTGTGGCTGTCCCACCCACCACACATATGAACGGCTAGTGAAGGGGTCGGTCATCCTGGTGCCAACCTTGCTTGGTGATCACTTCCTGACTTCCTTGGCCTGCTTTGTCAAGGGTGACATGTGTTTCAAAGCCCGAATCAGAGTGATTTCCTTGTCCCTGTCTTGAAAATGGGATGGTGGAACAGGTGCCTGTGTGCCCATAAAGATGCAGTGGGCTGCAGCATGGTTTCCAGCAAGGCGTCACCATGCGTGAGGCTCTGCTTGCCATTGCCGTAGGTCCTGGCCACGTGAGGGCACGTGTGGCTGTGTGGGTCATGGCAGAGTCTCCAGAAGACAAATGATTGAGGGGGACGAAACAGCCAGGTGGCAAGTTCCCTCATGACTTTCACTCCCATGACCATGGCTACCTTCATTTCCATGTGTGAATGTTTGATTCTGTTTATCTTTTAAAGATTTATTTATTTTATTTGAAAAGCAAAGTTACAAAGTCCTTGCTCAGAGAGGGGACAGGAGAGACAGATCTTCCACCTGACTGTTCACTTCCCATATGGTCGCAGCAGCCAAGGCTGGGCCAGGCTGAGGTCAGCAGCCAGGAACTTCTGGGTCTCTCACATGACTGCTGGGCCATGCTCTGCTGCTTTTCAGGCCACAAGCAGGGATGGGATGGGAAGCAGGCCTGGCACCTGTATGGGATGCCACTGGGGGCTGCGGCTCCATCTGCTGGGACATAATTCCAGCCTTATGTGTGATTAAGTTGTAGTTTAGTAAAATAAGTTGAAACAAAATACACCAGCCCCAAGAGGTTTTCACCACGTTGCTACAATAGTATAGTCCTTCATAAGGAGTCCTAATTCCATCAGTCTATTATTTAGTGTGCCCCGACATTGCTGATACAGTGTTAGTCCAGCGTCCCATTGTCTACACATGTCCAACAGTTTTTCTCAGAGTCCATCTTTTGTTTAGAATCAGGAATGCATGTTGCTTTGTACCCCCACATCTAAATATGGCACTCCGTCACTATACATTTCCATAAATGAAAAGCCATGAAACAAGGTCAACAACTAGTATGAGTTAGAACAGCCACCACAACAAATTACAGTACCATTAAAAAAAAAAAAAAGAAGCCACGCCACTAAGTAACCAACAAATGGGTGACAAAAGGGAAACACAAAAGTCTCTTGGGGAAAAATGATGCTACCGTGTAATCCATGAGCTAGTGATGAATTCGACAATGGAAAAGTGGAATAAATGAAACTGAAATAAAAAACATCAAAACACGTGGGATGCAGCCAAAAAAACAAACAAACAAAAACAAAAACCAACCAGTATGGATCGGGTTATTGAAGTTACACTTTCCATGATGGTTTCCTTATATTAGACAGAACATATGAAGTTTGTTCTTTTGTGATTAACTCATTTCACTGAGCAAAATGGTCTCTAGTTGGGACCACCTAGCTGTAAACGGCATAATTTCATCCCTCTTAATAGCTGAATAATGTTCCATGGAGTAGATGTACCACAGTTTCTTTAACCATGCTTCTTTGGAAGCACATCTGGTTTGTTTCCATGTCTTTGCTATTGTAGATTGTGCTGCTGCAAATATAGGATTACAGATCCCCTTCTCCTATGCAGATTTCACTTCTGGGTATATTCCTAGGAGCGGGATAGCTGGGTCATATGGCAGGTTTATTTGCAATTCTCCAAGCACTCTCCATACCGATTTCCACAGTGGCTGTACTAACCTACACTCCTACCAGCAGTGAAGGAGGGTGCCTTTCTCCCCACTTCCACACCAGCAGGTGGTGTTAGCAGAGTTCTGAATGTAGGCCAGTCTCACTGGAGTTAGGTGGTACCTCAAGGTGGTTTCATTTGTAACTCTCTGATGGCTAGGGAGCCTGAGCATCTTCTCATATGCCTGTTAGCCGTTCGAATGTGTTCTTTGAAAAATGTCTGTTCATTTCCTTTGCTCATTTTATCATAGGGGTGTGTGTGTGTGTGTGTGTGTGTGTGTGTCCCCCTGGGTTTCTGAAGCTCTTTGTAAATCCTGGATATTAGTCCCCTATCACTTGTGTAGTGTGCAAACATTTTCTCCCGTTCTGTTGGTTGCTTCTTCACTTCAGTTATTTCTTTTGCTGTGCGCAAGCTTTTTAGTTTGATGTAGTCCCATTGGTTGATTTTGGGCATATTTGAAATGGGCATATTTAGGAAAGAGAAGAGGAATGGCTAACTAGATATTACATCAACTTAAGACTTTGTTACTCAAAGAACAGTGTCTAATTATTTTTGTCCAAGCAGGAACTGACACAGCTGTTGTAATCTATCATTGCTTCTGATTGGTTATCAGATTGGTCAGTCATGTCATGCATATTTAAAGGCGTAGGATTCTGGACTCTGCCATTCATCGTGAAGTCTGGTTTCTGGTACATTTTCACTGTCCCTCTGGAACGTGGAGCAGCAGCATCTGGACTGCTCTGAAAAACCAAATGGCGTCAGCTTACTTGGCGTGTGGTGCGAGCACAGCCGGCTGGAGACCCAGGAGCTCCCGTGTACGGCGGCACACGACCCTGCCTGGCATGAGTCAGCGTGTGACCTTCAGTGTCCTCTGGGCTTTCTGGTTATGTTGTTTGGTTGAACAGCCTGATCCATTACATGACTGCTGTGTGCTGTATGGCCTGGACTTGACTCACAACCTAGGAGAAATTAGTATTTCTTAAATTCTTTTTTAAAAAAGATTTATTTATTTTTATTGGAAAGGCAAATATACAGAAAGGAGGAGAGACAGAGAGGAAGATCTTCCGTCCGATGATTTACTCCCCAAGTGGCTGCAGTGGCTGGAGCTGAGCCAATCTGAAGCCAGGAGCTAGGAACTTCTTCTGGGTCTCCCACGTGGTTGCAGGGTCCCAAGGGTTTGGGCCGTCCTTGACTGCTTTCCCAGGCCACAGGTAGGGAGCTGGATGGGAACTGGGGCCGCTGGGATTAGAACCGGTGTCCATGTGGGATCCTAGTGCGTTCAAGGGGAGGACTTTAACTGCTACATTATAGCGCTGGGCCCAATATTTCTTAAATCTAAACACTGGCCTGCAGGATCTTGATACAGAATGACACCAGAGTGAATCGTTCAGTGAGTGAGCTCTTCGTTGCATAAAACCAGAATTCTGAAAGCAAACAGACTTTCGTGTAGCCAATGTTTAATCCAAGTGGGCAAGAGTAAACGGATGGAGCTTCTCTCTCCTTTTTTTGAAAGAGCTGATGCAAGCTGGAGAGAGGGAGATGTTGGGGCGAGGCAGGGCTGCCATTGGCTGGCCTTGTCCCCACCCCTGGTCTTTAAACCGCTCCTGGACGTCCTGGGTTCACCTAACCCAGCTCGGTGCGGGGCCGCTGCGGCAGGACAGCGCAGGACCAGGACGGCACAGATGAGCAAGGTACAGCTGCTTGCTGGGAGTGTCTGCATGGAGGGCTCTCTGCCTTCTCTCTGTGGTACAAACTCAGTATCTGGAAATGCCTCCAGGCTAACATGTTTGACTCTGCTCAGATCCTAGGCTAACCTGGTTGAACCCGGAGTTCAACCCTCGTTGAACCTAAAGCCCAGCTGGGATTTCTTTTGCAGAAAAGCTCGGGTTTGAGCATACAATAGTATAATGAATAATAGGAAAAGAAAGAGTTAAGAGAAGCAGCTTATGGGTGTAGTTATGTCTCTTCCGGTCCATCACGGACTATTGTAATGACTATAATTTATCTGAAGGAAACAGATAGTTTTAGAAGTAGATTCTCAACATTACATCATTAAGAATTTTTCTCTAGGTTGAAAATACACAAACCCCTACAGGAATGTAGACATCCAGAGAGGTGGGCTGGGAGGTATGAGGGAGGGCTGGAGGCTGTCGGCCTTGGGGCCTTCTCAATCCTGACTGCTGGCATGCAGGAGCCGTGGTAGAAAAAGCTACTGCAATAACCGAATCAGGGAGAAAAGAAGCATAGGTTAAGATTTGAAAAGCTTTATTTTTGGAAAGGCAAGGTAACAGAGGTGTCTTTGTGCTGACTCATTCCCCAGGTGGCCTTCAGAGCCATGATTGGGCCATTTTGAGGACAGGAACCAGGAACTCCAACTGGGCCTCTCACACAGTGGCAGGGCCCAAGCATTCGAGGTGTTTGCTGCTGCTTTTCCTGATGACCCAGCAGGGGGCTGAACTAGAAGCAGAGCAGCTGGGACTTGAACCAGTGCCCCTTCGGGATGCCATGGACACAAGTGCAGTGTAACTCACTGTGCTATGGCACCAGCCCCAGACACAGGTCAAAACGGTCTGGAGGGAGAGCTGCCTTCCTCCTGCTGAGGCCTCAGCAGTGTCCTGAGCCAGTGCTGGGCTGTAGCATACTCCCCGGGGACCAGACCCCTGAGAGGCAGTGGTATTTACAGCTCAAGACTGCCCTGCGTGTTCTGTAGAAGCAGAGACACAGGTGCTGCCAGGTGTCCAGGCAGCCTGGAGCGCGGAGAACTGCACTCTTAGTACCTGAGCACTTCAGTTCGCTAACTACGTGATCCAGGGAGCATGCTGGAAGGACTGGGGAAATGACAAATATTTATTTACAGAAGAAGAAAGTATCTGAGGGTGGAGGTTGAGTGTCTACACAGTGTGAATGTGTTGGCTTAGCCACCTGCATGATGTGTGAAATCTCGTGCAATAGGATGTGTTGACACACACATCAGTGAGTGTCATGGAAGCTACCACCCTGTGTCTATGAGCTCCATGTTTGAGACAGGCAGGGACGAGCTGAGCCTATCAGCGAGGATGTAGTTGCCTTGGATCCTGTGTCATGATTCTTCAGCAGCTCATGTGTGATCTCAGAAAGGGAGAGACCTGGGCCCAGGACAACGTATGTGACTTAGCCTAGGTGGGTGGTAGGCAGGATTGGAAATGGCGACTTGGTGACCTGGAAAGGGTGACCTGTGCCGTCGTGGCTGGCATCCCTGGCTGCTTCTGAGAGGCCCCTTGGACCTAAGGGGCCGCAGATGCCACCTTGGGGAGAGGGCCAGCGTGACTGGACTGCTGGCAAGTGAGGCAGCTCAGGAAAGGCGGGCTTAGCTTGGTTTCAACATCAGCCTCTTCGGGGGTTGAGCCTGGAGTTGTCCCGTCCCATGAGTGGGACTCAACGCACACCTGGGTGGGGCCCCCCTCTCCTACCCAGAGAACCCCTCACAGGCACGCCCAGAAGGCCTATCCCACCAGCTGGCTGGCCACTGCTTAGCCACCGAGGGGCAAGGAACTTCTGGAAACCTCCAGCCAGTGTCCCGAGCGGGAGCCGAGGGAATACTGCCTGCGTGAGACAGAGTCATCACAGAAGAGGGCAAGGATGAGACACACTTCTAACATGCGGTTAGAAGTCAGACATGAGGGCCTGGTGTGATAGCCTCCAGCCAGTGTCCCGAGCGAGAGCCGAGGGAATACTGCCTGCGTGAGACAAAGGCACAGCCGTCATGGGAGAAGACGGAGAGGATGAGGACACACAGGAATCAGATGACGTGGCAGGGAGATGGCTGAGGACGAGGTAGCCCAGGGAGGGACTGTCGGCCTGCTGGGCAGTGAGAAGGGAACATGGATGCCCCCCATCTGACCATGCGGTCTGGAGACCCCCTCACAGGCCCAGGGGAAGCCCATCCAAGGTGGCAGCCTGAGCCTGCTCAGCCTCCTGTGTGCTCCCATTTGGGGTGGGTGTTTCCACATGACCTACTGGCCAGCTGGGAGGAGCTCGGCTTCCACGGGCTGTGAGAGTCGGACGTGTGGGGTAGAGCTCAGGCTGACCCAGCTTTCCTGCAGTGAACGAGACACCAGTTGACTGCTGCTTCCGTCCCGCCTGCATCCTGGTGTCCTCGGGAGCGAGTGCCCTTGTGGTATCACGACTTCGACTTCCAGGACAGGCTCCAGGAGATGCCCCTGCTTTCCAGCATGAGCTGACTCAGGACAGGCACACCACCCCGGAGGGTGCTAGCAGCAAGGGCCCCTGCCCTGTAGGGAAGGCCGGGCAAGCAGAGTGCGACTCTGCACCTGGTGACTCGGGGACCTAGGAACTCTGACTGCACCATCATGGGTCATAAATGCCGATTGTTGGTTTTGTGTGTTCAGGAAGAATCTACGATCAGATTAGGATGGGTGTAATTGTTTTACAGAACAGGTGAAACGGGTGTTGGTGTTGTAAAAGTGTTTCATTAACTGAAGTGGCCTGGCAAGTGCGCCTGCCTGGGTGGAGCCCAGGGAGTGCTCGGATGGGGAGCTATCCCAGAAGCACCCTTGGGGGCTGCTGCTGGAGATGAGGGTGGCGCTGTGCAGGAGGGAGCGTGCAGAATTTTTTCTTTCTTTTTTCCTCCCTTCCTTCTTTCTTTCCTTCCTCCCTCCTTCCCTCCCTTGCTCCCTCCCTTCCATCCATCCTTCCATCCATCCATCCATCCTTCTATCCTTTCTTCTGTTCTTTTAGGACTTTATTTGTTTTTATTGGAAAGTCAGATTTACAGAGAGAAGGAGAGACAGAAAAATCTTACATCTTTTGGTTCACTCCCTAAATGGCTGCAGTATCCGGAGCTGAACTGATCCAAAGCCAGATCCAGGAGCTTCTTCTAGGTCTCCCACGCAGGTGCAGGGTTCCAAAGCTTTGGATCATTCTCTGCTGGATTCCCATGCCACGGGAAGGGAGCCGGATGGGAAATGGAGCATCTGGACATGAACCAATGTCCATATGGGATGCCGGCACAATAGGCAGAAGTTAGCCTGCTGTGCCACAGTGTTGATTCATGCGTGTTTGATTGTACTAATTTAGGAGTCCTCTTAGAGGGTTTCAGTGTATTCCCTGGGATACAAGTCACATTGTTGATACTGGTCCTGTGATCTGCTGCACGCTGCCTTCCACAGGGTCTGCCCTGGGGTTTCCCTATCATCCTGGGTTGGCAGCTCACTTTCACTTTTGTCCCCAAGACCTGGGATCTCGCCGCCTGCTTACCAATGGCATTGCTGCCTCTTTGTGTCTCACCCTCCTGAGGTCTCGCAGGGCACGTGGTGTGGTTCTGCATGCAGACTCGGCCGGTGTCTTCTGACTTAGACATGACTCATAATTGCTCTGCTCCTGTTTCCTTCTGGTGGGCACTGGAAGCTTTCAGGATGTACTCATGTGAGGTTTACAGGCGCTGGTGTCAATTGGGCCTTCCAGAGAACATTCCTTGTCTCATTCACGAAAATTGTAATGTTTATTCTGTGTTCTGTTTGCAGAACATGGCGTTCTGAACCTTGGCACAGTGGGAGAACCTGGGCTGAAGTACAGTCCATTGTTTACGCTGCAGGGGCCTGTGTGTGCCCTGGAAAGTGCTGCCCGTTCACATGGACCCCATAGAGCTGAGAGACGTCAACGTCCCTGACGAGGAGAGTTCCAGTGGAGGCAGTGGACAGGATGGCTATGGCACAGTAGGGAAGTCTGAGAAGACTGTGATGAGCAGGTAACGGGGGAGAGCCAGTTCCGCGGCAAGAGACAGGGTCGTGGGGGTGGAGCACATGGTCTTGGGGAGAGGACTGGGATCACTGCGGATCAGTTTGAAGCAACGATGACACTTCCGTAATGTCAGTGCTCTGTGCAGCTTGCTGGTTACAGAGGCCACACCGCCCTTGCCCCTTTAATGACATTAGCTCATCACTCCCTTTTCCTTGATGTGGCTCAGCATTTTTTATTCTTTCATGCAAAAACTAACCCCAAATTGCACTATATCACTAGAAACTATGAATACAAAGAATGTTGCTTGAGCATTTCATCTGACTAGCATCCAGAAGCCTTGGGGTAGTTTCCTGTGGGAAATGCAGTGGTGGTGGTGGCAGGTTGCGAACCTTAGACCCAGAAAAACAACTAGTGTTGGAGCTGTAGCCTCCCAGTGCTAGCAAGCATGTGCAGGAGCTCATCTGAACAGGGAGGGAGGGCCTGTGGGCAGGGAGCTGAGCAGTGCAGGGGGAGGGAAGGAGGGGCCTGTGGGCAGGGAGCTGAGCAGTGCAGGGGGAGGGAAGGAGGGGCCTGTGGGCAGGGAGCTGAGCAGTGCAGGGGGAGGGAAGGAGGGGCCTGTGGGCAGGGAGCTGAGCAGTGCAGGGGGAGGGAGGGTCGGTTGAGCATGTGTGCGTCTGCTGCCCCCGTAGAAGACTAGAATTACAGTGCATATAGTTAGTTTTTTTGATGAGTTCCTTATCAGATCTTTGAAATACCTTTCGGTGTCACACACACAGACACCCGGCTGGTAGCTACCTCAGACACTCTCCTAGGACGTGTGTGCAGTCCCATTCAGGCCGTGTGGTGTCACAGCGACCACTGACCTGGACTGGCTACCAGGCTTGCCTTCTGCTCATGGCTTCTCAGCCCTTTGCCTCATCCTCTCTGAGGGTCCAGGCCAGGGAGCTGGCCACTCTGGCACAGTGCTTGCTGCACACATGCTGGGTAATGGAAACTCCCCCTGGGCAGTGCTGTGGCATAGCTGCCCAGGAGTTCAGGCTCCTGCCCGTGGCCTGGGAAAGCAGCCTAGGATGGCCCACGGGCTGGGGCCCTGCCTCCACGTGGAGACTCGGCTGGAGCTTTGGGCTCCCAGCTCTGCCTGGCCCAGCCCTCAAGCTGTGACCAACTGGGAACAGGAAGCTCTGTCTGTTGCTCTGCCACGGACAGAAATGAGTGCTTGCTTTGGTGGGACGGGCTCCCCCAGGGAACAGACCCGTGTGCCCGTGTGCCCATGTGCCCATCTGCTCTGGGCCGCCCTCTCCCCCAGGGAGCCGACCCATGTGCCCATCTGCCCTGGGCCGCCCTCTCCCCAGGTGGTTTAGAAGCGGCTCTGGCTGCTCTGTGGGCTGTCCTGGAAGCCATATAACCCTGAGAGCTGACAGGTGGTTTGCCTTTTGTTTTCCTCCTGGTGTGTGCAGTCAGTTCACCAACATGGATGCTGAGAGCCAGAAGTTCCTGACAAACGGGTTTCTGGGGGAGAAGACACTGGTGGACTATGGTGACGAACACGTGAGTGGGTCTGCGCTTCCGCAGGAGGCTGCTGAACACGGCGGGTGGCTGGAATTTTCCAGCGTGATCAGCACATTTTGTTTGGCCCTTACTGGAACAAGGGCACATGCCTTCTGCTTGCCATATGGCCACATCAATCATTTGTGAGATGTTTTTGTGCTCTGAGAAGGCCTCCTCGCCCAGCACAGCCTACCTCCGAGGCGGCTGATGCCGTGGCCCCTGAATGCCGTCTGCTTGGTGACCTCTGAGCCTGCGGCCCCCCTGTGAGAGTGCTTGTAGGTGCTCACCTTGTACACTTTGCCACCAGCACCCGGGAACCACGCCCTTCGGGATGTCCTCCTTCAACCTGAGCAACGCCATCATGGGCAGCGGGATCCTGGGCCTGTCCTACGCCATGGCCAACACGGGCATCCTGCTTTTCATGTAAGTGGGCATGTGTGTCCACGGCCCAGTCACCTGTGAGAAGTGTCGCACTCTTCACCAACAGGTGTCTGAGGGAGGCGTGGCAGACACGAGGCAGCAAGTTGAGGAACCAGCAGAGCCCACCCACCCACCCTCGCCAGTGTGCAGCACCCCTGGGCACTGTTCAGTGGGTTCCTGCCGTCCTCGGCTTTGAGTGGCAGACACAGTGCTCCCAGGAGCAGCCCAGCTTCCAGCACATCCTCAGGCAGAACTCAGAGCAGGCCTGGAGCCAGCAGTAAACAGGTGCCCTGGACACACCGGTCTTCTCTATGCCAGAAGAGTGTTGGGTCAGCTTCTCCCTGTGGTCTTGGGGCCCTGTCCTTGCTCCCACCTCTAGCCAGCTCTGCCAGTCATACCACACAGCCTTACCTGAGTGCCGCCGTCCGAGCACACTTCCCACACACGCCTCCCTCTGTTCTAGGCCCTGGTTTTTACATTTCCCTGGGCTGTCCACATGGTTTGGACATTTTTGCCATCCTGCAGGCTGTGAGCTCCAGGGCAGAGCCCACATCTGCTGTGACCTCACCAAGACGGCCTTCACCCTACGTCCTGGGGGCACACAACTTGTTCCTCCACATAGGCACTTTGATCACACCTGTTCTGCCAGTCAGGGGTGCTGAGCTTGGTCACTTACGGGCAGCCACAGAGCCCACAAGTTTCCAAGACATAGCTGCTTTCCCAGAGACCACGTCTCAGCAGGAATTCCTCACAGGAGTCAAGTCCAATGTCAGGTGGCCCTCGCCCTGCACATCCATGCAGCTGGAGAGTGAGGGTGGCATCTGAGAACGTGGCCTTTCTATCAGGGAGACAGGCCAGTTCAGCCCTGAATGGCAGGTGTCTGAAGACTGAAGGTCTTGGTGGGCCTGAGCTGTTCTCTGTGACACTGCACTAAATGGGCTTTGTAAAGGATGATTTGGAAAAGCTCTGTTGGGAATAGCTGATTTTCTCTGAAACATGGTGGCTGGAGAGGTGCTTCCAGCCTGCCGGGAGAGGGCAGCACTTTGCCTTAGCAGTCACGTGCAGCCGGGCCGGGACCTCTCAGCTGGTCATCGCTTGCTAAGGGACTTGGGTGTGTGCTTGGGGGAAGGCCATCCCACGTCCTCCTTGTTCAGGCACATGACCAAAGCAGGCCCAGGCTGTATGGGCAGAGGGTGCTGGGTGTGGCCACAGCCCCCCAGTCCCAGGTCCCCGGTCCCCGGTATTCTCTTCCATGCGGGAAGTGCCTCACTCACAGTCCACAGGACTGTGGCGAAATGCAGCCACGGCAGACAGTCCTAGCAGGCATGCTTTCTGGATAGCTCAGTCCTGCTAGCGTGGTTGTCAATTCTGTCTTGTGCACCAGGTCCCCTTGGTAACTGCCCACGACCATGTTGAGCAAGTCCTTGTGCTGCGGTGGAAGGTCCCGCCTCCCGGGCACAGTCCCTGCTGCTCCCCTGTGGGTGCCCACAGGCTCAGCTCTGGGTGCAGGGCAGAGGAAGTCCCCTGCCCATGTCTGCTTCCTCTCTGTCACACAGACGATTGCCTGGCCCTCTGCTGGTCAGCTTGGCCACGGGGGACCAGTCTGGTCTGAGGAACAGCAGCCAGGGTCTTGAGCTGCCCAGGCGGCACTGAGGCGGCGGCAGACAGTGGGGCAGCCTGTCCGTTCGGGAGATTGGTGTGCCCTCCGTAGGACAAGCTGCATGTGGACATCCATGGGCAGGTCAACACAGGGCCTGCTAATTTTGTATGTGAAGTCTGAGTTATGAATACAGTATCTACTAGGAACTCCAGCAGCTGCTGCAGGCATTAGAGGGCTGAGTGGGGTTCTAGGAGAACTCCTCAGTTTCCCCCAGATTCATGTTGGCTTGGAAAGTAAATGGTTCAAAAGAGACTGGCCTGTTTGTGGTGCTCACAGCTCACACTGCAGTAAAGCTCTCTGCCCCCCTGTGTCTTTGCAGAATCTTGCTGCTCACAGTGGCAGTCCTGTCCTTGTACTCGGTTCACCTGTTACTGAAGACGGCCAAGGAGGGAGGTATGCTGCCCTCCATCCCAGACCCTCCTGGCCGCCCACCCGGGATGCTGCCAGCCTCCTGTGCCCACTTCCTCCTGTGACAGACTGCATCTCTGATTTTAGTTCCTTGGGTGTGTGCGGCAGGAGTGGCAGTCACAGGCTCTCACAGGCAGACCACTTGTCACCGGGCCTTGGAGCACCTGCAACTGGTGTTCAGAGACCGCTTGTCATAGATCGCCTGTTGGTGTTTGTTTTCTTCTCGAGATCCATTCATGTATCTGAAAAACAGAGTTAGAAAAGGAGACACCAACGCAGCTTCCATCTGCTAGTTCACTCCCCATGACTGTTCCAACCTGAAGCCAGGAGCCTGGAGCTGCTTCTGGGTCTCACCCATGCACACAGGGGTCCAAGCACTAGGCCACCCTCACTGCCTTCCCAGGCACAGTAGTAAGCAGCTGGACTGGAAGTGGAGCAGTCAGGACTCCCAGCAGTGCCCACATGGCACTGCCAGTGGTGGCTTAACCCACTACTCCACAAGGCTGGCCCTGCTTGCTGGATTTTGAGGTTCTGTCTGGGACTGTCACTTCTTTTTGTTTATGTGATTGAGACTTCTGTGTAAATCTGTTGTGAGGAATACTTCATTTTCCCCTCGTGAGGAGTATTTTAAAGCAGCCTTTTTTTTTTAACAGGGTTCTTTTGTCTTTGGTTGTAGGGTCTTTAATTTATGAGAGATTAGGGGAAAAAGCCTTTGGCTGGCCTGGGAAGATCGGAGCTTTTGTTTCCATCACGCTGCAAAACATGGGAGGTAAGGGGCGGCTTCGTGGTCACTGTGCCTCCTGTCCCGCCAGGGAACCAACAGCAGCTGCTTTAGAGTCTGCGATTCTGAAATACACACTCCTTACACGCTCGCTGGTGCTCCTTAATGAACAAGAATGAGATGCAGAAAACCGCAACAACTGAATTCTGTAAGATGAAGCTTTTTGGATTCCTAATGCCAAGATGGCATTAGTCTGAATTCTTTAACTGCAAAATGTGCTTGAGCTTGTCTCTGGCGTCCAGAAGGGCCAATGTCCTGTGTGTATGTCAAGGGTATCCCATGAAACTGAGTGTGGGCATGGGGTGGGCAGGCTCAGCCAGTGGCGCTCTGGCCTGCGGGCCACGGCCAGTCCATGCCCTTGCAGAGGCTGCTCCATGCCGGCGTCCTGTCTGACATCAGGCCAAACAAGGGCCTCAACTCTGTAGCTTCCCACACTTCTTGCTGTGCTGGAGCCCAGAAACGAGATGGCCGCAGGCCCCGGGCACACCAACTCACACTGTGTCCCTGGCCTGCGCGTACTTCAGGCCCCACATGAGTCCCAGAGGAAAATGCAGACAGACTTTTGCCCCAGTGGCTACACCTCCTGCGTGGTTCCTGCTGGATCTCATGTGGCTGGTCTCACTCTGTCACCTCCCACACATTCCTACACCTGTTGTGCTCTGTTCCTTTCGGCCAATGTCCCCAGCAGCCATCTTCTTATACTGGAAATCTGGTGACGCCACTAACCCCTCACATCCAGCCAGCCCGAGGCTGCCCTGCGCACGAGTCCTCACAGCCATGGCACTCTGGCCTGCTCTCCCTGCTGAGCTCCCTGCTCGCAGTCCTGACCGACCCTCCATAGGAGCTGATCAGGCCAGGTCCTGGGCACAGACCTGCTGGCACACATGCCCGGCCATGCAGAGCTTGCGATCTGCTTTCCTGCCTCTCGGTCACTGCCATCACCTGTTAGCATCTTGCCTGAGTGTTCTGTGTATGTCAGCATCTGCTATATCTCTCTCCCGAGTCGCATCTGGCCTTCACGGTGTGTGCCCAGGCCCCCGGGGTTCCCACTGCTCAGCACCTGCCCTGGAGTCTTCCATGGAGGACATGGGCTCCGACACGGGCTCCGCACTGCTTCGTGACTGCTCCATCCTCGGGTCTCCCTCTGCTGACTGGCTGGTCTTTAGAGGGCAATGAGCTCCCATGAGGGGTGGTGAGACATGAGGCACAGCATGCACCCCCGTCCCCCGGCTGTTGAGCTTCTGTGCCTGCATGCCCCAGTTCCCTTGGGGCGAGTGACTGTAAGAATTACCAGGGGAGTTTGTGGATCACTGTCAGGAGTGGCTGTCTGAGCTTGCCTTCAGGCCTGTGTCACATGGCAGGCCAGCTCTTGCCCACTGTTGCCCTCTGTGACAGTACCACAAGTGAACCACATTGCACCACAAGGCCCTCGCTGAGGGGCAGCCCTCACCTTTAGGGCGATGCTGCCATAAGCTGATTGTACCAAGATCTGCAAGGAGGCAACTCCCCAGCTGACACACTGCCCGGAGCTCTCCAGCACAGCTCTCCTGGGGCCATCCCTTTGCCTCCCCTGGTCAGTACTCTGCCAGGTTCCAGACACGCCCTCTGGCCCCAGGTACCCCTGTCTGTCTCCTGTGTAGAGTCTGCAGCACCAGCACTGATTCAATCTCCTGGGTGTGGGCCACAGCACAGGGCACCCCAAGTCCTGGCCATTCATGGGGTCACATTTCCAGCCTCAATGAGGCCTTCAGCATTTAGGTTTCCTGGGACGATGTTGTGCAAAGTCTAATGGACACCTCCTGAGAGCTGATGTGACCAGCCCGAGCCCAGTGCGCTGTGCTCAGCCACTTAGGCAGCAAGCAGCTGCAGCGTCTGCTGCGACAGAGCACTGTCCATCCCATGCCCACATGAGAGCCCATAGGCTTCTGCAGAAGGGTTCCCACACCAGGTGCCCTGGCCCCTGAGTACATCTCTCTTGGTGCCTGGGCGGTCAGTGAACCTATCTGGGGGTCCTGAGTTCTTAGTGGACGTTTCCTAGTGCCCTGGGCAGTTAATGGACATGAGCTGGTTTTCTGTATGCTTTGTGGATCTCTGTGGTTACCCCGGCTGGTCAGTGGACATTTTCTGGATGTCTCTAGGTGCTATGGCCAGTTAGTGAACACCTCTGGATGGTTAATCAACATCTGTAGATTATATGGACAGTGAGTGGACACTTTGGGTGTCCTGGAAGGTTTGGACAGCTCTGAGGGCCTTGAACTATGAGTGAACAATTTGACACACAAAAAAGTGCTTCTGCCTGTGAACTGAGCAAGACCACCCTGGGGCCCTCCATGTTCTCATGTTTTCTTCAAATGCAGTCATCCCAGCCCCCACAGGCTCGGGTCCGAAGCTGCACATGTGTGCAGCAGCCTTGCTGATGCTTCGGTTAGCTGTGAGATGGACTCCCTCACTTAGGAGCCCGAGCCAAGGTCTGGGCAGGGTCCAGAGGCCCTGGGAGTGGACACGCAGCAGCAAGAGCAGTGTGAGCTGAAGGCTTTGCTTGAAAGGCAGAGTTACAGGGAAAAGGAGACACACATCTCCATATGTTCCTTTCTCTGCTGGCGTGCCAGGAATCGGGAACTCCATTCGGGTCTCCCACGTGGAGGCAGGGCCCAAGCACTTGGACCATACCCTTCCCAAGGATGTTAGCCGGGAGCTGGATCATAAGTGGAGCAGGTGGACTCGAAACTGGGGCCTGTATGAGTGCTGGCCATGTGAGCTGAAGTCTCCAAGATACAGCAGGCAACAGAGAGGGGGCCTGGGCCGGAAGTCAGGGCACTTACACTGCCGACAGCCTGGGGACCCCACGCCCAGGCTGTGCTCACCTCTGAGCTCTCATGTTTTCCATCGTAGCCATGTCCAGCTACCTATTTATCATCAAATACGAGCTACCCGAAGTAATCCAAGTGTTCCTGGGACTGGAAGAGAACACCGGGTATGTCTGGGGTCTCTGCGGGGACCGCAGGCCCTTGTCCTTGGGAGTCCCTGGCCCTGACACTCCATCTCTCCCTCGTTCAGGCAGTGGTACCTCAACGGAAACTACTTGGTGATCCTTGTGTCCGTGGCTGTGATTCTCCCACTCTCACTCCTGAAGAATTTAGGTAGTCCTTTTCCAAGTCTGCAGCTTGCTGTTTCCCTCCCTGCGCTCAAGGTGGCCTCCTGTAGACAGCACACTCACATCCCGCCCTTCTGCCCTGCTAGGCTACCTGGGCTACACCAGTGGATTCTCTCTCAGCTGCATGGTGTTCTTTGTCAGTGTGGTGAGTGCTCTGTCCCCTCACAGCCTGGTGCGCACGATGCCATAGGCTCTCAGTGCTCGAATCCACATCCCTGAACTCCAAGCTAGTGCCAGATGATGTCTGTGTCACAGGCAAGTTCCTTGCACTCCAACATGAAGTGAGAGAAGAGCAGTTACACTGAGGTCAGCACCAATGGTTTGCTATAAAGATCCTGGGTGTGCAGCTGAACAAAAGGAACATCTCAGGAAGAGCCAAGTCTTCAGGCAGGGGCAGGGAGAACAGAGCTGGAGAGGTGGGGCAGGCCACACCATGCCTGCCAGCTGTTGCTCAGCTGTGTCCTCCTGGGTCTGGGCTGGGGTCAGCATTATGGTCCTGCTGCCAGCTGAGATTGCCAGGCTGCCTCTGGCCCAGCCCATTCCCCAGAACAGGGTCTCAGAAGTGTCCCTCATCCTCCAGTCTTGAATCCTCCGTTGAGTTCCCTTGCCCCCATCCCGTGAGCCACACTTAGAGGTGTTTGTGTGTGAGTGTGTGTTTCCATTGGAAAGGTTGGGTTAGAGAGAAAGGGCAGAGGAAGGGAGACAGAGATGTTCTGACTGCTGGGTCACTCTCCGAATAGCAAGTCTTCACCGGGATGGTCCTAGCCAGGAGCCTGCTTGGGTCTCCCACCTGGCCCATCCTCCGCTGCTTTCCCAGGCCATTAGCACCGAGCTGGATGGGAATCTGTTGGCACCTTCACAGGGCTTTACCAAGCACCATCCCCAACACAGGGCTTCTCATTGTACTGTCCACAAAAGGCTGATTTAAAAAAATATGCCTGGATCCAGGTGATATACAAGAAATTCCAGATTCCCTGCCCCCTGCCCAACCTGGGTCCAAGCACAGGAAACCTGACCTTCAATGGCACGGCGCTGGCACACGTGGTCCTGCTGCCCAATGGATCCGAGAGCACCAACGTGAACTTCCTGGGCGACCTCACCCAGCACGGACCTGCGGAGCTGACAGAGAGCCAGGCCAGGGGCAGCGGCGTGGAGTTCGAAGCCCAGAGCGACTCCAAGTGCCAGCCCAAGTACTTTGTGTTCAACTCCCGGGTAAGGGAGAGCCTGGCCAAGCAGCCTCTGCATCCTGGTTCCTGCAGTGGGCACTGGGGTTGCTCTCGGGTTGGGAAACGGACTGCACGGCTCACCCTTGTCTTCCAGACAGCCTACGCGATTCCCATCCTGGCATTTGCCTTTGTGTGCCACCCCGAGGTCCTGCCCATCTACAGTGAGCTCAGAGAGTAAGCCATCTCACTTGCTCATTCCTGCCCTCCTTTCTGGGCTAGGGAAGGCTGGGGTTCTGGGTGGTGCTGACCTTGGCCAGGGCGGGGGGGAACCTTGGATAGGGAGAAGTGAGGTTGTCTAGACTGGAAATGGCACCACCACCTGACCACCACCCAGCCTGGCCGAGCCCCAGCGCTTGGCTCCCAACTTTGAGACGCAGCCTGGCTAGGGACACCCTGGGTCCTGCGTGAACTGTTTCTGGAGCCTGCTGGGAGCAACGTGGGAACCCAGAGGCCTGAGCCCAGGAGAGCAGAGGGGTTGCAGAGGGTCCTCAACTCCTGAGCCCGGGCAAAGCAGCCAGTTACACTGTCCCAGTGGAGGCCTTCCCTGGACTCCAACCTTGTGGAATATTTTGGAAGTTTTTATTGCTTCAAAACTCCCATGGAAGTTACTCTGGAAATCTCCCAAACCACCTCAAGATGTGGGGTCCCTAGATCCAGTGCAGGGCTGAGAGCTAGGCAGCAGGGATGTCTTTAGACACAAACAGGGGCTCTGGGACAACTCCAGCAGCTGTGCAGGTGGCACTGTCGGGCCTCCTGGGTGGTCTCCAGCAGCAGCTGTGCAGCTGGCACTGTCGGGCCTCCTGGGGCCCTGTTGCTGAGAGTAGCTAGCAGTTTGCAGGCAAGGACTCTGCTCTCAGGGTGGCAGCTGGGATGTGGTTTCAGACCTGCCTTCTCTCACAGTGGTGGGTTTGCAGCTCCATGTCCTTTTTCCTTCCAGCCGGTCACGGAGGAAGATGCAGACAGTGTCCAATGTGTCCATCACAGGGATGCTGGTCATGTACCTGCTGGCAGCCCTCTTCGGGTACCTGACCTTCTATGGTAGGTGCTTCTGCCAGGTCACGTACTGATGCTTCAGGACACGTCATCGGGCCGAGACAGCCTGACCAGTGGCTGGCAGGGATGCTGTGTCCTGGGATGCAGACATGGTCTGCAGTGGTGCCTCTAGAGGGTAGCAGAGAGTTCTCTGGCGTCTGGTCCCCAAAGGGGCTTCCACCGTTTATCGTCTGTGGCCTTGTGAGCCTCAGGATGGCTCCATGCCTGTGAACAGAGGTGTGAACTCGGAGACGAGCTGAGGACAGTGGTGTCTGCATTCCAGAGGCGCCACGGCCCAGGCGCACTGGCAGGGCTGCACTCACCCACTCTCCTCCTCCCACAGGGGAAGTGGAAGATGAGCTCCTGCATGGCTACAGCAAAGTGTACACCTTCGACACCCTGCTTCTCATGGTGCGCCTGGCCGTGCTGGTGGCTGTGACCCTGACTGTGCCCATCGTCCTGTTCCCGGTGAGTGCACACAGTCCCGCTGGGCGAGCGCGTGTTTGAGAGCCTCTCGGGGCCTGCCACAGCATGGACAGGGAAGGTGTTTGTAGGTAGTGTTATCGGAGGGCAAGAGGAGAATTCCTAAGGCTTGTCACTGAATTCACATCAGGAAGGCAGAGGCCAAGCTGCTGCCCCACTGTGGGCTGGAACAAGCAGAGACTAGCGGGCGACCTGCAGATCGCTGCAGTTCCCACTGCCTGCAGCAGGGGGCTCAGCAGAAGGGCTTTGCCTCAGAGGCCCTATCAGCTGTCCGCCAGAAGGGCAAATACAAGAGCAACGGGCATTTCTGCCACCTCCCTGGCCAGAGATGTGGGGTCACCTTCCAGGGCACTACCTTGGCCAGTTTGTTCTAGGATCACGGAGCAGGACTGGCACAGCCACCTATGTGACCTGAGCTGCAACCAGCGAGGATGGACACAGGCCCACAGCTGCCTTGAGAGCTCTTTCTCGTGCTGCAGGGCCCTTCACGTCACACTGCAGTGCTCCCTCATGCAGAGTGTGCCTGGTGGTGACATGGGAGCCTTGGGCTCAGAATCACGTCAGCACATCCCTGCTCCATGTCACTGGGGTGGCTGTATCACCTCTTGACACCTGTTGGGGAGATGCAGCTGTGGGAATATCAAAGGTATTTTGTCAGATATTTTTATTCAAAAGGCAAAGTTGCAGAGAGACAAAGGAGGAAATATACCATCTGCTGGTTTTGTTTCCGAATGACTACAACAGCTGGGGTGGAGCCAGGCCGAAACCAGGAACTTATCCAGTCTCTCCTGTGAGCAGAGCCCACTGCTTTCCCCGGCCATTGGCAGGAAGCTGGATTGCAAGTGGAGCAGCTAAGCCTCGAAGTGATGCCTATATGGATCCTCAGGAGGCCCTGGAAGTATCCGGTTGTCACTCCAAGTTCTTCCCTACACAGAATTGAAAGCAGAGGCACAGCACCAGTGCACAAGAGAGCATATGGTTCACTTAGAGACCAGGGGTGCTACAGACAGAGTGCGTGTCCACCGCCTGCACAGGGCCAGAGCACTGTGAAACGCTCCTGCCAAGGCCAGCAGGGAGGCGGAGAGGGCACAGCTGTCACCTCCCATGCCAGCAGCTCACATGGGCACCTGTTCGTGTCCAGTGGCTCCACTTCTGATCCAGCTCCATGCTGTGGTCTGGGAAAGCAGCAGAAGGTGGCCCTATTGTTCGGGCCCCTGCACCCTCATGGAAGACCCAGATGAAGCTCCTGGCTTCCGCCTGGCCCTGCCCTGGCCGTCATAGCCATCTGGAGGGTGAACCATCTGGAAGGTTTCTCTAGATCTGTTGACTCAAAATAAGTAGATCTTCAAATGAAATTTTAAAATGCTTGTCTTAGTGCAAGCTTTTCTTAAAGTCCATGCATTTCCCATGACATTTGCTTTACCAAAAAATTGGGCGGTCTCTGCCACAGGCATGTTAGCTAGCAGAGGGGTGCAAGCACGGTGGGTGACTACCGGCCAGCCGTCTATGACCTTTGTGAGGACCCCTCGGAAACTCAGTTGTGGGTAATTTCCTACCGTTAAAACCCGAGATGTGAGTAAAGGGACGAGGGAGTGAAAGTGTAGTCGTCCCTGACCTCTGCCCTTGGCCTGCAGATCCGCACCTCGGTCACCACGATGCTGTTCCCCCAGAGGCCGTTCCGCTGGGCACGGCACTTTGTGATTGCGGCCGTGATTATCACTGTCAACAACATTCTGGTCATCCTGGTGCCCACCATCAAATACATCTTTGGATTCATAGGTGAGTTGCAGTCCAGTCCGAGATCCTCAGCTGGTGGCTGGGGCCAGCTGGTCCCGACTCCCTCTCAGGTGACCCACTCCCTCCAGCCCACCAGCTTTCCAGAAGACAGAGGTCAGGTTGTGTACACAGGGGTAGGCCCTCCCACGAGCCCCGCCACGGTCTCTGGGTAACCGAGGTGGAGCTGTTGACGTGTCATCCATCACCGCAGTGACTGTAAACACCTCGATTAGGCTGACCGGAGGCCCAGCCCTGCAGAGCAAAGGTGTGTGAGCTCAGCCTCTTCAGAGGGCTTCTTTCCCAGGTCCCTCGCTATGGATTATTCATTCCACTGGAGCCCATGTCAAGCCTCCATGCTTTAACCATCAATGTAATCTTAGAGACAGTAGGCCGGAGGACCCCCAGCGTGCACAGCCATCAAGCTTCAAGAGGATCTTGAGTGGTTAGGGGATCTTAGATGTCCAGAGGGACTGTGTGCCATAGCTGAGTCTCCCATAGAGGACAGAAGACCTTGTGTGATGTGATGGTGTCTTCTCAAGAGAGCAGAAGGCCTTGTGTGACACAGCCGGCTCTTCCGTGTCGTGCGGAGGGCCTTGTGTCTGCAGCAGAGCCTTCCAACATCCACACGACGCCGCAGGAGCCGAAGGCATTTCCGACGGTCCCTTGGGCCTTTGTGGCGCCGTGTGTTCTTTTAAGGCAGGCAGGACTTCCTGTGATGCAGCTGGGATTTCTGTAAGGAGAGAACACCGCGCAGGCTGCAGCTGGCCCTTCTAGATGAGTAAAGGCCTTGGGGCTCATGCTGCTGCTCTTCGGAGAGTGCAGAGGCTCTTGTGACCTGCAACTTGATTTCTAAGGAGTCCAGAGGACCACGTGTGACACAGCCGCACCTTGGGCGCAGTGACGAGGACCTTGGGGGTCCAGGTGGATCATCTGTACACAGCAGGGGACTGTGTGTGGTAGAGGCAGAGCCCCACAGTGCAGCAAGGTCCTCAAGTGCACAGCTGCGTCTTCTGTATCGTACAGGTGCCTGGGGTGGGGTTGAGGGGTTATCACATGCTGCGGAGTGCCTGTGTGGCATCACCGTGGCTACTGTGCAGTGCACCGAGGGCTTGCCGGGGTACAGCTGGATCTTACGTCTACTGCACAGGACTGTGTGTGATGTAGCAATCTTTTTTTCTTTAAGATTTATTTATTTTTATTGTAAAGTCAGATACACAGGAGGAGACACAGAGAGGAAGATCTTCTGTCTGATGATTCACTCCCCAAGCAGCCGTAACGGCCAGAGCTGAGCCAATTCAAAGCCAGGAGCCAGAAACTTCTTCTAGGTCTCCCACGTGGGTGCAGGGTTTAAGCCTTTGGACCATCCTTGACTGCTTTCCCAGGCTGGAAGCGGGGCCGCCGGGATTAGAACAGGTACCCATATGGGATCCCGGGCGTGCAAGGCGAGCACCTTAACCACTGCGCTATAGCGCCGGGCCCAATGTAGCAGATCTTCTGTGCAGGGTACTATGTGAGGTGCTGCCTCATCTTCCCGAGTGTATAGAGGGCCGGTGGGGGGCGGCGTTCGGTGCAGGAGGTCGGTCTGTACAGTACAGCCGGACTTCTGCACAGCACACTGGCCCTTGTGTGGTGTACCTGGACCTGCTAGAGAGCAGGGAATGTTCTGTTTTAATGTTAGAGGTTTCTGTGTAGCTTGTTAGTTTGTATGGACAAGACTGTTCTGTTGTGCAGAGGGCCATGTGTGGTGTGGACAGCCTCTCTAAAGCCACGAGGACCTTCTATGCAGTGCAGAGGGCCCCGAGTGATGTAGCTGGGTTTTTTTTAAAGTTTGATTTATTTTTGGGCCCGGCGTGGTGGCGCAAGTGGTTAAGTCCTCGCCTTGCACGCCCGGGATCCCATATGGGCGCCGGTTCTATCCCGGCAGCCCCGCTTCCCTCCCAGCTCCCTGCCTGTGGCCCGGGAAGGCAGTCAAGGACGGCCCAAAGCTTTGGGACCCTGCACCCGCGTGGGAGACCCGGAAGAGGCTCCTGGCTTCGGATCGGCATAGTATCGGCTGTTGCGCTCACTTGGGGAGTGAATCATCGGACGGAAGATCTTCCTCTCTGTCTCTCCTCTCTGTATATCCGCCTTTCCAATAAAAAATAATAAATCAAACTTTTTTTTAAAGATTTATTTTTATTTTTATTGGAGAGAAGGAGATGGAGTAAGATCTTCCATCTCTGCTTCACTCCCCAAATTTCCATGGTGGCCAGAACTGAGGTTATCTGAAGCCAGGAGCTTCTTCCAGGTCTCCAACGCAGGTTCAGGGTCCCAAAGCTTTGTGGCTTGGGAAAGCAGTGGAGGATGGCCCGAACAGGGTGCTGGATGGATGGGAAGCGGAGCAGCTGGGACACCAACCAGTGCCCACAAGGTGAGGGTTGAGCCACTAGCAGCTGTTTCTTCTGCAGAGTACAGAGGACTCAGATCTACAGCTGCAGCGGTTCTTGTACGATGGAGCCTCACAAGCGCCCTCGTGTGGCGCAGGGCAGCCTTCTCCGTACACAGAGGCCCTCGTGTGGCACAGCCGCTGCTCCTGTGAAGTGGTGGGGTCCTTGTGTGTGCACAGGACCTTCAGAGGTGGAGGCTTTTAGAACCCAGGGAGCGGTCCCGGCGGCATGGCCTAGCAGCTAAAGTCCTTGCCTTGAACACGCCGGGATCCCATATGGGCTGCCGGTTCTAATCCCGGCAGCTCCACTTCCCATCCAGCTCCCTGCTTGTGGCCTGGGAAAGCAGTGGAGGACGGCCCAAAGCCTTGGGACCCTGCACCCGTGTGGGAGACCTGGAAGAAGTTCCTGGCGATTGGCTCCATTGTGAATCATCGGATGGAAGATCTTCCCCTGTCTCTCCTCCTCTCTGTAAATCTGACTTCCCAATAAATAAATACATCTTAAAAAAAAAAAGAACCGAGGGGCTTTGTAGGAGCAGAGTGAATTTCCAGTGTGTTTTTTTGGCTCATGCAACCCTGTGGTATAGGAAGCTCTTGGCGTGTCCCCATGACCTCTGCTCCAGGAGGATCTTGTTTCCAGAGCACTCTTCAAGTTCATAGGCCCTTGTGAGGCTCGGGGGACCATCCAGGTTCCAGAGGACTTGACGTGGAGTTGGGGATGTGTTTGGCTTTCTGAGCACAGCCCTGACTGCTGCTTCTCTCCTCAGGGGCATCCTCAGCCACGATGCTGATTTTCATTCTCCCAGCAGCGTTCTATCTGAGACTTGTCAAGAAGGAGCCACTGCGCTCACCCCAGAAGGTCGGGGTGAGTCAGGGGGACACATGCCCCTTGGCAGCTGCAAGGCTCGTCCCGCGTCAGGGGCTGAGCAAAGCCAAAAAGAGGTGGCTGCCAGTTTTCTCCACGGCACTCTGGTGTCCCTGATGTGCCTTCAGGTCTGGTGGGATCCGCCTCTCCTGGGAGTCCATATTTCCTGTCCATGGTAGCGCTGCTGAAAGATCTAACAGATCTTAGGCTAAATCCTGACAGGGATGCTCCTCTCCAAAGTCACCCACCTGTGAGCATTGCCCAAGGACCTGGGGACAGGTTGATGTCACAGACTTGTCCTGTGGCCTGGGGCAAGCTGCTGGTCCTGCTGGGGACCCACCGCCAGCCTGGGCAGAGTGGCCATCAGTAAAATGGTCCCCAGGGTTGTTGCAGTGAAGCTGCTGGCCCCGGGACACCCTGCAGGCTGCACTGTGCTCACCCGGGAGCTAAAAGGAAAGGCGGCCTCTCGTGTTCAGTATACTCACCTATATCTAACGGTACGCTTGCCCTGTGAGCTCACGTGTCCATGGGTGCACACATCTGGCCTGGCCAGTGCTGGAGGTCCCCTCTTCCCTGCACAGGGGTCCTGACCCCGTGAGATAGCCTTGCTGCGGGGGTGTGTGCCCTCACCCACGCTCTCCTCCCAGGCCGTCATCTTCCTGGCGACCGGCATCATCTTCATGATCGGCAGCATGGCCCTCATCATCATCGACTGGGTCTACAACCCTCCCAGCCCCAAGCATCACTAGCCAAGGACGGACTCCTCCAGTCGGACGAGGCTGCACATCCCGCTGCTGCAGAGGCCCTCAGTCAGCCACCGGAAGCAGCAGTTTGGCGCAATCCTGCAGATGAGAGGAACAACGCGTGTCAGGAATGCTGTTTACAACCTGAGGTGCATACCTCTGCAGCTTCCCAAGAGCCCTGCTGTTGTCACCCAGTGACGCCCCCTCCCCTGCGTGTCCCCCATTCACACCACAGCTTTGATTCGAGAAGCCCGCATGTGCCTGTCTCGGGGGTCTGGGAGAAGGTGTGATCAGGGGCTCCCTGTAGAGACAGCTTCCTGGTGTGGAGGGGAGTGGCGAGGGGTGCTCATGACCCTGACACGGAGGTTCCCAGCCTTGCTGCCATCACCCTGCCCCCATCTTCCACACAGGCATGACTGCCACCCAGTGTCATTGGAGACATTTGGACTTGAAGACCTTGGGTGCAGTCTGGGCCGCCCCGTGGCCATGTGCACCTCCAGCCAGGAGGACCTGCGGTGCGGCCCTGGCCGTGGGGGAGGAGGGTTCCTGGGACTGGACAAACAAGACGCAGGGCAAGCCGCGTGCTCCTTCTCTGTTTACAAGAGTGTAGCTGGAAGACAAGCACATCTCGTGAAGTACTCCACGGTGACAAGAAGCAGGACCTGGGACAGGGTCCCAGAACGGAGCTTGCTAACATCTGAGTGCCATTGGTGTGACAGCGGGTGGGCCCCGCAGACGGAAGACACCAGCACCACCGAGAAGCTGTCGCTGCTGTGTGCTTCTGGACCTCACAGCTGCTCTTCAAATCAGTGGCTAGAACACTCGTTGTATGCTTAGGTAAAGCCAAGTAGCAAATGCAAGTAACATACAAGCTTGGGTCGTGCCCAGGAAGTGTCTCCTGGAAGCAAGACCCTGGCACGGGTGCACGTTGCCATGGAAACAGCATGCCCAGGAACTGCCATAGTTCTGCTACTTGGGAAACATTTGACAAATAGCTTCTGTAAGATGTGTCTCCATAGTGGATCAAAAGTGGAAAAACCTGTCCTGTCAATGTTAAAGTTTAGCCTGAATGTATTTAATGTAAATATTAAAGATTAACACAAAATAGCTGTGAAGTGTAACTATTTCAGACTCTTTGATTGAAGATGGCTGGCATGTGGCTGTCCGCCTCATGACCACAGAGCACTGCACGTTCAGCTAGCATAATCCCATTTGTAAACAGATGGCATTTATTTTCTTACTTCATTTGTAAGGTGGCTCAATGTGTTGGAGGCTTTTTTTTTATTATTACAGAGTGTGTATATAGGCATATAATAAATGAACTTTTCAAAATACTGGGATATGATTTTCTCTTGTTTAAGCTATGAATTACCTGCACAGAATCCAACCTGGAGTGCCTGAGTCTTCGCAGGTCCAAGTTCCGTTTCCATCACTGAGCCAAGTCTGTGTCCAGTCCAGGGTACTGGCCATGCACTATCGTCACATGGACACCCAGCCAATGCGCCAGAGGGAGGGCTCTGCAGGATGGAAAGAGAACAAATGTACAACAGTGACATGCAGCTGTGGGGCCGACGCAGTTCGTGGGCCGTGTGGCAGCTGTGTGCCCAGCTTCAGGGTGGACTCCACACAGCTCACTCCACGTCCCCCACTGACAGCAGTAAGAGCCCAGACCCTGCCCTCGTCGACAGCTAACATCCTCCTTGCCCAGCCCGATGGCCAATGTGGAAAGCTTTCCTGCGGTCACTCAGTGTCTGTCTGGGTGCTTGTAGCTGGTATGCAGATGTTCTCTGAGACCACAGTGTGCACACTGCTCCCAGGGCGCTTGAGCTCTGCAGTCCGGGTCCCTGCCGTTGCTGCAGGCGTGTGTCTGTGTTTGCTGCAGAGGCAGGCAGCTGATGTGCAAGTGGGGTCCGCCTGCTATGGCGGCAGGGTCCGACCTTCATGTTGGCTTAGGGCTGGCTGTGACTGAATTGCTGACATCCGGTTTGTCTGAGTGCACAGCCCTGACCCAGGCACTGTGGGAGGGGGCACTGGCTGTTTCCTTCCCTCCTCTGTGTGGGGAAGGTGTTGTGGAGCTGCAGCCCGCCAGCTGCTCCCCAAGGCTGTCTTCCAGCCCAATATGCCATGTCACTCACCAGACTGCCCAGGACAGTGACGGGAACAAGCCAGCCTGGCACCTGCCTTCATGTCACATCCACAGAGCAAGGGACGAGTCAAGAGCTGCCCGAGCACACAGTTGGGAAGCAGGGTGAGCCCCAGGGCCTCACAGGACCCTGGAATTTGTGGAAGGCAGGATCAAAGATGGTTCAGTGGATGGGTCCTTCTGCGAACTTTGTGCAGATCCCTAGTTTGCATGAATTGGAGGCTTCTTCCACCACAGTTATCTTTTAATCCTGTTTTCCACAAGCTTTTAAAGCATCCTGTGATTCTGTGCACTGAGGAGCAAACACTGGCTCTGAGAAAGGTGAACACACGGATGTCTGGCAGGGTCACTGAAGCCACAGGCACATGTGACAGGTGTGAGCCGAGCGTGCCATCACAGGCAGCTGCCTAGTACACAGCTGCCCATCAGGACACGTGTCCCACATGGAACATGAGTGGATATTGCACACTGACACACAAGCATGTATGGGTGTTCCGTATTGTTGACATGCGAGTCTGTATGACACATGGCAACGTGTGTGTAGACTTCATACCGTACATAGCAGATAGGATATAGCTTAGATACATATGGCATGCTTGTGTGTATACTGCTTTGTGACACATAAGCATGTGTGTGTAAACCACCTAATACTCAAGGCAAAGTTGTTTTGACACGGAAGGGGAAAGAGCTCGTGCGAGGACGCTTCCACTGTTCTCTGAGTGGCTCAATGTTGACATGACTGAATGTCCACAGAAGACCAAGTCACACACAGGTGCTGCACAGCCAGAGCCACCACTGCACACTACCTAGAGACCGCTCCACGACCCCATAAACAAAGTAAGACGAGCTCTTCTTAAATCTGGCATGTGGCTATCCCACTGGAACACTGAAGAAGAAACCATGGGAGTAAGAACCAAAGGAAACGGGCAGCAGGAACATTTAAACACAAAGCTACCAGGAATCACCGTGCAGGACAGTGACCCAAATGAGGCAGTCATTAACACTAGGAGAAACTAAACTGTGGCCCAAGCCACACACTGTTCACGAGAAATCTACTTCAGTTTGAGCTGAAACTAAAAGGATGAAAGATACAAGATACACATACAAAAATTAACACGAAAAAGAGCAGCTACATCACAACCTGACAAAGCAACTTTAGAGTGAAGTTCCAAGAGACGGAGGAGTGCTCGAGCCCTGTCGTACACGAGGGAACTCTCATCCTGGCGGAAAATGACACTGCCGAGTCCCCCGCCGCACAGCAGACTCAAGTGCGTGAAGCAGAACCCGTCAGGGCCGAGAGGCAAAGGACCGCAGTGACAGCCTGCGGAGCACAAGGACCAGCAGACCACCATGACCACCATGACCCGCCCAGGCAGGGCTTCCAGGCCTCTGAACACCACGGACGCTCACTGTGACAGGCCCGTCCTCAGACATGAAAGAACCGCAGCCAACTTCCAGGGGCTGCTGCAATCTGTCAGAGTGTGGTGTTTTTGTTTTGTTTTGTTTAATGCTGACAATTTTAACACAAAGGCAGTAGCACTAAACAAAGGAATTAAAACACTTCTTTATGGGGCAAAGAGCATCAGAGAAAATCTTAAAACACACAGAACTGAATGAAAATGTTGAAACATGCCCAAGCTTCCTGCTTTTGGGGCCAAAGCACAAGGAGGCTGTTGATCAGTATGGCCAGGCTCCACTGAGAGGGGCCCACAAAGCCAAGCAACCTCCCTACAGTAAGACCGCTCAGAGGCCTGACAGATCCCCCGGACGCCTCCTGAGCGTGTGCTGGAGCACCAGTACACCCAGAGACATCCTGAGAACACCCTCTGTATTCCAGTTGGTCCCCGATCTTTAGCATAAGTTATGAAAGTTAAAAGAGTTTAAGGAAAAGCTAGTATGTGAATTGGTGGAAATAGCCCAAAAGGCCTACCCTTAAACTAAGACAAGAATAACCAATTTTGGAAAAGGAACTACCGTTCATCCCTTCCTTGTGATGATGGATCTCTGCCAGCATGTGCCCGCCAAGACATTCTGAATTCTCTGACAAACCCGAGGGCCGACTTGAAGAACCTTCCATGGCCTGACCTGGATAAAATCCTGTTTACAGATGGAGGGAGCTACATCGTTGATGGGATCAAGTGAGCAGGGACTGGCAGCTTCACAAGACCAAGCCACATGGGCCCAGGCACTAGACCATGGAGGCCTAATTGTGCTGACCCAGGCCCCGAGATGGGGCAAAGACAAAACTGTAAACATCTACATGGACCACAGATATACTTTTGGCACTAGCCCTTAATCAGGAAAGGGAACTCTTACCAATCAGCTAAAAAGATCGCACAAGAACTAGTGGGGCCCTTCAGATGCTCCTAGTCCTGGGGAATGAACACTGCCAAACTCCCCAGTATTTGAGTGAGCAAATGTGTCGCAAAAGAACTTGTAGGACAGAGGCCAACTCCAAAGGATGTATACACCTGCCGGCATTGGGACTGAGTTGTGGAGGCACAATTACATCATTGTTCTAGATTTAAAAAGCTGAGTCTCAATGCCACATTTGCATCCAGGTAAACCCAGGACCATGAGGTGAGTCAGCTCTAGGAACTGGACTGCAAGGAAACCCTCCAGAAAAATATTGGGAGATGAATTTCACTGAGATTCCACTGGGAAAATATGGGTACCAGTAGCTCCCTGTGCTAACAGACACCTTCTGTGGCTGGATTGGGTCGTCTTCCACCAAAACAGAACAGCTCAGGTAGCCACCCCCGGTTTGGCCTTCCTCTAACCATGGGGTCCGACAATGGCCCAGCATTCATTGCCCAAATCACACAATTGTTAGCAACATCTTAAATATTAATTGGAAGTTACACTGTGCATACAGGGCTCAGAGTTCAGGACAAAAAAGGGTAAACATGAACGTAAAGGGAACTTTAACTAAGTTAGAGACTGGCAAAAGCTGAATGAGCCTCCTCCCTCTGCCCTCCTGTGAGCCGCCACGCCCCTTATGTACAAGACTTACCCTGCATGACATGTTTAGGGGGCCACTGCTTTTAGTCCCCAAGCAGGGGGGCGAGGAATGGGCTCAGTTAAATAATGATTTCCCCTCAAGTCATTGCAGACTCTACAGGTTGTCCTTTACCTGACTCATGGCTGGTAAAGGCGACACATCCAGAAACAAGGACAGCCCCTGACCCGGAGACTTGGTGCGGATTAAGCAGCAGCAGCCTGCCACCCTTGAGTCACACGGGCCGGACCCCTGCCTGCGACTCCGACCTCTCCAACTGCGGTAACAGCTGCAGGAAAACGGCACTCCACAGACTCGATGCTCTCCTGAGAGACTTTCTAATACCTGTAATCCTGTTAACCCTAACTGCTCCTGGGACAAACAGGGGTGGACTCTCCCTGCACCAACTCGTCAATTTCACTGGGGACTAAGACTTTATGCCTTTGGGTGGGGCCCTCAGGTAGAATTTACTTGGCACATCCTGGAGGCTCGAAATTCCTCCTCAGAGCCCAACACAGTAAGATCTAGAGAAAAAAAAGGTATGAAAGCCTGTCCTCCTGGTGCCTTGGCTGGCCCTAAAATCCTAACATTTCTAGAACTACTTCTAGGCCCGTGTGTTACAAACTGTTTAACAAATAGGTCACCGCCTGTGTCCAGACAGTGAAGCTCAGGGTACTCAGGACCCACTACCAATATATTAATAATCAAAACAGGGAGTCCATGATTTGACTCCCAGGAAGAAAAAAAAAGTGAGGAATGTGACAGTGTGAAAAATTATAGTTAGTGCATCCTATGGTCACCAGTCGGGTTAGACTGACCCTCCTCCCCAGGAAGGAACCAGGTGCTAGGAACAGAGCCCCGCAAAAAGAGTCCAGTGAACGAGGAGCCAAGTCCTGGGAACTGAGCCCCATGAAAACTGGAGCTCAGATTTCCAAACAGTAAGTGAACAAATTAACAGGGACTCTGAACTGGAATCTTCAGTGTCTGACTTAGAATCCTCCCTAAACTCCTGGGCCAGGGTGCTTCTCCAGCACAGACGCGGACTGCTGTACTCTCTGCTTCTGTGCAAATCGCTCCAGAATAATTACAATTCTATCTCTAATCAGAGAAACCTCAAGGAAAGAGAAAAGCTAAGAGAAAATCGACAAAGCTGGTTTGGGAGTTTATTCTGCTGGTTACCAGGGCTCACCACCTGCTCACAGCCCTCTCCAGCCCCTTCCTTAGGACTTCATAGGCTAACTATGTGAAACAGAGAATTAATGTTAAACTCTCATCATAACCCCATTCCTGATGGTGACAATGAGCCAAAGGCAGGGGAAATGTGGAATCCAGTCACAAAATGGAGTCATTCTGGCTCAGGCCTGCCTACATTTGCC